TTTCGTTTATGATAACTTTAGTGAGATATATGAAGTCTTGGGCGTTTTATTGTATTAAACACAAGGACTTTGGTAATTGAAAAATAAAAACTGACGTATATGTTGCCGGTTTGTGTTTTTTAGTCCGGTTTGGAGCGGAGTGTGACAATTAGATACATACATTGGGTTGTTTTAGAGTGCATAATGTTCAGTGTAATGGTGGCTAGTTATGAACGAGATGAGTCCTGAGTTTTGAAGCAGTTCATGAGTTAGTAGTATGCAAATGGACAAGATATTTTTATTTTTAGTTACAAAGGGTAACTTGATGCTTTTGTTTTTCACAAGGAGTAAATTCAATTAGAGCTGACAAATCGTCACCACTTGTTCCCACGAGATGTTTGCTATTTTTAGTTACAAATGGTACCTCGACACTTTTGTTTTTCACAAGGAGTAAATTCAATTAGAGCTAACGAATCGTCACCACTTGTTCCAGTGAAATGTTTGAACAAACAAAACAAGCTAGATATTGCTATTTTTAGTTACAAATGGTAACTTAACACTGTTTTTGAGTTATTGTTTTAGTAAAAAAAATACCTCTTAGTCGGCGCATCGGGTATGTTATGGACGGGTCAAACGAATGAGTGAGTGAGTAAGAGATGTATGTATGTCACACCAATCAGATTGGATCTGTACGGGTCCGCAAATGATTCCAGGACCGCAAATGATCCCCAAATTGATCCGCAAATGATCCCGGACCGGAAATGATCCCCATATTGGACCGCAAATGATCCCGATCAAAAAATAAGGAATGGCATGGATTTATATCAGAGGAAGGTGAGCACATGTACAAAAATTATGAACTAACTAGACGCTTTGCTGCGTGTACCCAGACAGTCGTTATACTGAGAAGCACTAGCTATATTGCAATTGAGCTAAATGTTCTGTATTTGAAGTTGTACGAAATTCAATTGAATTGATGTGCTTAAGCTCTTCTACTTTTGATTGCATTTCTTGGAATCGATTAATAGCCTATTACTCGTTTAAAGGTCTTCAGGGCGTGAAAAGAGTCAAGGTCTTTATATCAGCCTATAAACGTTTCAGTCTATTTTCATCAGCCTTTGTCGTTGTTATTTGCGTTTCTCAAGCAAGCGAGACATTTTGAATTTCCGAGTTATGGCGGTGCGTGACATAGACCTACGAACGCGTTTGTCGAAAAACATACACTTATCTCGTGATTTTTAGCTCAATCAGAAGTTAAAGTACTAGGAAAAGTGCTTATGTAAACGCTTGTTTGTTCAGTACGATAGCTCGAAATGTTTACACTATTTTCCGGCCGCAATGTTGGCGTACCGCGGAGGTACTGGTCTCTGTAAATTTGTACAAAATATTTCGACGAATATCTGAGCTTGGAAAAGCGTACAGACTTAAAAATTAGCGACGTGTCATCTCTATTAATCTCCTATAACATCACAATTTCTTGATTTAATCTACTAAGTGGTTTCCGAATAAATGTTTTATTGCGTCAGGATTGCGTGACAGTGTAAGTCAAGAATAGTTTTGCTGGGGTCAACGTACATGTACATTAGTTTCTTGTAGTGATCGATAAACTATTTAAACAATAGTGTTTCTGTCGAGGAACTATCGGTTGATAGTTGCTCCCGCGGAAATTTGATGCTCTTGAAACAAATATTTGCCTGAGAAACGAAGCTTCGAGGGCAAATATGCTACTTTTAAGAACATCAAATTTCCAAGGATTAACTATCAGACCGATAGTTCAGAGACATAAACACTCTATTGTCTTTATTGTTCATCACTAAATTATCTTCCGCGGGCCGGTTCAAAAATTATATTGAATTATTTTCAACTTTTTTTGATGAAAGCCGTGAGAGCCAAATGTAAAATTTTAAAACAGAAAACAGACAAAAACCCACTTAATACAATTTCAATTGTTTGTTTTCTATAAGCTAGCTTGTTTACAGA